TTCTCAGTGCATCCCATCTAATTCGCAAAAAGAAGAACACAATCCGTGACCGCATTCGCCCGCATCTCCTGGGAAATTGCGATGTTCACATTTTGAAATCGTTCCGCGTGTGCCAGTGCAAGTTTTCTTAATCTAGCACGGACAGTGCGTTGGCAGAATTTTTTTCTTAATCTAGCCTTTTGATCATTCCGGTGAGAAAAAAGTCCTTGTGAAGTTTTAATACGACAGAGACACACACCTTCGGCGGAAGTTGCCTGAACTCCAGCAGATTCAATTCCGATTCAGGACACCTCGAGTGTCGGATCGGATCCGGTGAGATGAATGTTTATCCCTAAGCTCTGCTGCCTATCTGGCCTACATTTAAAAACAAACACTATTTTGGATGAAAATGAATTGGTTAATTGAAATATTCATCGTATCACTGAGGTCACCATAGAATGTGTGCCATTTTTAGAGCACGAATCCTTGGGCTGTTGCCGTTCAAAACTTGTTTTCTAATCCTTAGAAAAAGTAGCTCGAAAACTGAAGGATTCAGCTGATCAGCGTGAAAGAGCATCTGGCGTTTTCTAATGCCGACTAGAGAATTGCTTTCAAGGAGTAATGCTCTAGCCGTGTACCACCAATATTAAGCCTAAATGTGGCGTATATGTTCGCTAAATTCAATCACATTAGACGCGAAGAGAAGTCCTTGATGAATGACGCAGGTAAGAGGTTTTATATTGTGATACCCGTACGTCACTTTGCGTCCAAAATTATCCAGTCGATGGTTTCAGGTTGCTAGATCTGTGTGTGAATCCATACGAAGGGGAAGTTCATCTATTAGCTGAAATGAAGGGATTTCCGGGTGCTCTATTTCACTCTTGAGAAATTTAAAATGTCCTCATCGGAGTTTTGATTATGCAGTTTGGAACCCGATTTTTAATATACGATGACCATATATATACTGTACATGGTCATCTTCAATACCTTGATTTATTAATTTATTTAAATTTCAAATCTACGTTCGATCTGTAGTGAAGTATTTTAAAATGCGATTGTCACAGAATAGGTAAGCCCTACTATTTCGATAAATTAATTAATTTGCTCAAGATATTACCTGCACTTCTGACATGAACGAAGAAGGTACATTCACTGTCACTTTAATCATCGGAAGTGGCTAAATTACACACACATTCACTTTCCTCCAGATTTGACGAACATGCAGTGCCACTAAAAAATTTTAATGCCTGAAAAACCGGGTCTGACAATAGCAATCACGTTCAACAGTTCAAAAAATAGTGCTTCGTCAATTTATTGTTACAATCCTAGTAACTTCGTATCCATCAGCTTAATCCCAATTTCGAATACGGTAAATGTCTTTGTGGTTTGTTGCGTTGTCGATCATGCGAATAAGCCGAATATGTCAAAATACTGTACAAAGTGTACATTACTTCACTGCAAATAACTTTCGGTCATCAGCCCGGGTATCATGCGGTTCCGCGGTACAATACAGTCAACCCTCGATTAAGTTCTCCCCGATTTAGTGCAACCCTCACATATATTTTTTCTGGTAAAAATCTCCCTCCATAATATTCTTGAGGAAAACCCCGATTTAGTGCTAACGCACTTAGTGCCGCAAAAATCGTTGTCATGTTTATAAAAAAAAATTGAAGTGATCCAGGCATTTTCCCAAGGATATCATTGTATTATAAGATTTTAACGCATAATTGCATCCCCATACTGACGTTAAAGCTCATGATAAATGTGAAAAATCTATTTTTAAATTTGGAATGTATGAAAAATAATTTGTATTGAAAATATAGAACAATGGAAACATTTGTGGAAACACTGGTGATTTCTTCATGGTGGCACTTTATATAAAACTAACTTGAATGCACAGAAAATCCTGAGAAACAGCTGTGATGTTTTAGTAGATGTCATGTGTCTAATACATTCTGCCTTGATACATATTTTGAAATAAAATATGAAAAAAGTATCTTCGAACTGCAATTTATTTATTATGACTTTTTCTCTGATAAAACACCCTGATGGCCTGAAAATTCTGTGAACAAGTTCAATTTTCCTCTAATGAAAACCCTGAACTATACCTCTCTCTCATCCAATACCCTTGATTTAGTGCCACCCTTCCTTAGTGCCTCAAAATGCGGCACTTAATCGGGGTCGACTGTATTTGATTTATGCGAGCCAAAACTAGAGATGATCGCAAACCTTTTGCAGAGCCTCTAATTTCAAATAAATTGTTCTCTCTTTCCGTGACAGTTTTTCTCCAGTTGGATCCGCGGAACCTTAAGTGAAAAGTGCCATGTCCTCAACGTTGCGCCCAGTTGCGCCAGAACCGTGAGGATTCAAAAATTCAACTGCTTCAGCCTTTGCTTCGTATCTAACCGATAATGAAACGCGATTTTCACATTAAGCCGCGTGATAACACCTAGAGAAGTGGGAAAATTCCGTCTTATCGAACATTTAGCTCGGAAAGCTCGGAGCATCTAATCATGCCCAAGCACTGAGCGTTGACATGCTTTCAGAAGCGTTTGGCTTGTGGTTACTGAATTCGCTTCAATCGAAAAGCTTATCGCACTGCGTTGCGTAACAATCCTGTGTTTTCGCACGGATAAGCATTACTGATCATGAATCGGACCCTATGAATGTGGTGTCCCAGTTGCAATCGAGTCTCGTTGCGCGCGACGCGGAACAAAGAAAAGAAGAACTTTCCTCCAAACGACGACGCCCTTGACTTCTCGACGATGATAACGAAATTAATACTGATCCTAATCCACGCGGATGAACACGAACGATCCGCGGGATTATCCAAGTTCGATAAAAGAAAAAAAACACCCTTGTGCATTATACAGTGGTGGAACTAGGGAAGAAAATATTTGCTTGAGGCGGGGAATAAAGGTCATGAAAATGCGACACAGATGCGATAGAGATCAGTAACTCCCTTGAGTGACGATCCCTGTCGTTATTTATTCATTTTTTATTTATCCCTGAACCGCGGGTTCGCCAAATCCCGCGGGAGACGCTTCGTAGCTGTTCATTCACAAAACGAAGTTGGTTCAGTGAACGCGCACTCTGGCCAAATCGAAAAGGAAAACTCAGCGTCCCAGTGAGTGAACCGTGTGTCGGCGGAAGAAAAAGGGAATTTCTTATTGCTTACCATTCCGGACTGTCGCTGACTTTGTAGAGAGAGTCTCTTCACTTTCCAAATGTTTCTCTTGATTTTTTCAAGTTGATGAAACTGATGGGAACGACATTTCGAGTCCATTCCGAATGGAATCCAGGTATTTGCGCTGGCCTGAGAGAGGTTTTTTACTTCTGTACATTTTCTTTCCACATTTGTCCATTTGCAGTGTTGTCTTTTTCCGTCGATTTAAACAGATGAAGTAGGAATACAGTACAGTGTATCTCGGAGGCAGAAAGCTTTTAAAGCCGGAGGCCAAATGGATGTGCTTATACCTCTCAGCCCTAAAAGCACGTACAGTATTTCGAGACTAAAAAAAGCTCAACCGTTGACCGAAATAACTTCAAACAACGCCCTTCTTTGAAGATCAAGATTGCATTTTTTTAAATAAATCCTCGACAGTGTCGTTGAACTCGACAAAAAGCATTGTCTATTCTTTTTTACCTCGAATAAAAGATGCCCCTGTTACGACTCTATGTTACTTTCTGTGTTGATAGTTTGAGGGTCTTCTGCCATCAAATATAACCCTCAGTTTCAACATAAATTTCAGCGCATAATCTATCGAAGATATAATATTATAATCTTGATTTAGTTACCGAATTAATTAGCTGAAAACGTCGAACAGGAATCAGAATTTGATATTTTGGTTCGTGTCAAAGGTACGTGTCCTTGTGACAGTTCCAGTTTTGTGTCTATTTGCGATTTGATTTCGTGCAGCGAGGGGAATTTCATTGAACGATTGCAACGTAAGTTTTGCATCGAGCTTTGTGTTTCAGTCATGAGGTTGTTCATTCGATGTAAGTGTACGTGCAATACTTTTCTGGCATAGTGTCGTGGAATATTTCATCAGCTAAATTACCTAGGCAGTTCAAACAATATATTTTGCCGCATTATTATGAATTTTTGTTCTTCTGGTGGCTCTGAAGCAGGCTTTCTTGCTTCAATATCTCTGTTATGAAGGAGCTGAAGATGCTGATTTGCATATGGCGAATTTTAGACCTTTCTTATGAACATAATCTCGGCCAGAAGTTACCCCTTCACCTGGAAATCTGAGACATCATGAAATGAAAACTTTTTTGGTTACGTTTGAGCCACTTGAAAATATGTCATTTCTTGATTTTTTAGTCTTTGCCAAGCTTTATGAAGGAAGTGATTCTTGCGCTCAAGTAAATATACGATGAGTATGATGGCTGGTTAAATGTTAAATGCCTATTTGAGTCTGATATCACGAACCCAGTTTCAAGATCTTACTTTTCCCAGAAATCTCCCGAAAGCGATAGCATACTCAGCGAACAAGGTTTATTGACAAGTAACGTTTTTATCATACGTAAGTGTGTGCGTCAGAGTTTTCGCGTATGAATGATTCAAGGGAGGCTTTTGCTCATATGCCTTATCTGAAAAAAGAGGTTACGGGTGTCAACAGACCTCATCGAACGTGTTAGATTTATTTTCGAACTCTGAATGAAGCTCTGTATGTCAACTTGAAATTGTGCTCCTGAAGCCGAAATGGTTCGAAAAATTGTTGGTTGCGAAAATAATGAATCCTGCTATGGGCTGGCTTGAGACTTGATCGTTACCGATGCATCACGAAGCGGACGGGCAGCTAATGGTTCAATTGGTACGTCAGCAGACGTAGAAAGAAGTGTCAAATTGATCTAGGAACTTGAAACTGAGCAGAAATTGCTGACTTGAGTGATGTGTTGAAGGATGTGTTGAAGGACAGCGTGTTTTTAAATACTTTTTGCCCCGAGGATATATCATGTTGTGACAATTGATCTCCACTGATTCATGTCGAAGCTAACGAGGAACATTCGGTTTTAGTGCTTGCCCTCTCTGATGTACACGCTCTGTGCATTGTGACTAGTGAACTGATTACCCGACTTGAACTGCGCATTTGGGCTTAAAAAATCGGTCAGTGGTCGCAATGACGGAAGCCAATGACTCGGACTCTGGGAAAGGTTACTATCGACGATCCGAGATGCGTCGACTGATGTCGCAACCGGTTGAGACGTACCGTTATGAAGAAGAGTCGAAACGTGGTGACGGTGACGGTGCTGTCACGGCACGGCCGCCAGTTATGCGACGCTTCGCCGCCCCCGTGCAGCGCTACGCAAATCGCATCTCCATGCCTGTTTTACCGCAGGGCAATATACACGAAAGTTCTCCGGATTTGCAGGAGTCGAAAACGCGGTCCGGGCTGATGTCCGATGTCGAGCTGCAGCAAGGTTTCAAGTACTCATCGAACCTGTGAGTGGGCTCATCAATGTGTCATCTTTCCCCGGTCTCCAATGTTCTCACATTTTTCCTTGTCTTCGCGCTCATCCGCACAGACGTTCCCATGGGATAGATAACGATCTGCCTATTATTCCCTTGATATCGGCTCATCGCCTGCCTCCGACCGCTTTCCATAGCTCAAACAGTATCCACCTCATCTGACACGGTGTCGGCAGTTTTTCATTTTCCGAAGTCATCGTTTCTTACGCATCCTTGCAAAAGGAAACTGATGACACGAAGACTGCGACCTTGGGAAGTTTACGACGCTAAAGGAAGACCGTTTTGCGCGAAATCGTTTTTACCTGCCCGCATGGTAATGCCCGCAATGCCCTTCTAAGCGTACTGAAGAACATTTCGCAGTGCACAGTCTGCTTTAAAGTTTAGGCAGGAACTCGATTTTGAGTTGAATTATGAAGATATGCATTTAGGAATATGAAGAGAAAATGAGGTCGATTGCTCACCGGGGATTTCTTTTAGTCAGTGAACCATTCATCGGTAGGTTTTCACGCTCGTTCAGAGCACCATGAAACCTATTGGAAGAGCTACTAGCAAAAGAAACTACTGGAGAAAAAGGGATGGGTTTTTCATCATATTTAAAAAAAAGTGGAATAGGGAAAATCGAACGTAACATATCTTTATAGATCGCATTCTTTTAGTTAGTATGGCATATGCGGATATCGCGAGCATGATAGTAAATGACTGCGTCTTCGATCGCCAATTTTTTGAGTTCTGCCTGTAATCGAGTAACTGTGGTACAGTACTGTACTTATATTTTAAAATTTTTCTACGGAGTAGCCATGGCTTTGCAGCATTGACTAGTTTTGCTGAACGAGGGGAATTTGCGTCTGCGGTTTTCCGAGAAAAATCAAGAAGTTTATGCTCGGAACTGCGGACGGAGGAATACATTTTTGGGTATCGTTTCAGAGAGAACATTTGTTTATGAGAACGTCTGACGGCTTTTGAAGGAAGTATCTTGATTTTCAATATTTGCATGCAACTTCAGGCGGGATATTACCGAAAAAGATTGATTATACAGTGATTGAATCAGCACGCTACATGGAACACATATAAGCAGGAAATGCTTATTGCGGTGGTGAGCTAGGGAGAACTGAAAACAGAATAGAAAAAAAAAACGTTTGAAAAGAGCGTAAAATATGTATTTTCTCACGAATTTCGAGGCCGTTGATACCACTAATCAGAATTAAATTGTGCATATCTGACTGCAAAAATCGAGAGAAGAAAAAGCGTGGAACTCGCATCGGACTTCTGAGATATTCTGGAAGGTTTCCCGTAGTCGAGAAACAGATCCAGATTTTCCCGGGGAGTCTTTTGGGTCTCGGGTTGCCGAACGTTCGCGAAGGATCTCGACCTCGTCTCATTTTTCCTCCTGTCCACCAACGGTGATGGTTATTGCTAATGGAGGCGGTTCATCGGACTCCGTCGGTGATTCTGACAAGCTATCTATGATTTACGAGCCGCGGCATTTTCATTCCGGCTCCCCGATTCAAGTCGATTAGCCCCCGAACCCGGGTCCGTTCTTGGTCAGTAAATCAACCACTTAATTTATAATGTCGCATAAATTCAAGCGGTCCCACCATCGCTGGCCGATCTAACGCGATCATCCAACTGACTTTATAGTTGGTTATTTCAGCCTTGAATCTTAGAATAACCCGACTCACAACTGCGGCTGCTTTGCTTTTCTCAAATGCGAACTCCATGCATAGCTGAAAAGTTTTACCACACTTAACTTCAAAACCTTGTCCATGAAGAGAAGCATAAGCATTACTGTACTGTTTTTTGTCATACGGTACTGTATATTGAATATGGAAGGATGGTACAAAAGTTTTATCACTGCTTCACCTTGAAATTAATTTATTTGACTGCTTGAGCTTCAGCGTCAAGAACCTCTAAGCATGTGGTCAAGAAAATGAATTGAATCAAGCCTTAGTTCATATGCTGATGATTTTCGCCGATCGCATCCCTGAATTGGACAATATGGCGACATTCACATTAAATATTATTAATTTACACCTTTCGAGAATTAACAATTTAATTTACTTTGCGACACGGCTGTCAGATCTGGGGCTTTGAAATGAACCTTCTTAAGTCAATTGAATTACTGTATGTGGTAGAGTCTTGGTCAGCTGAAAGTTTATAAACGTTTCAATTCGGTATGTAAACCTGATTTATCGCAGAGAAAAACTTCTGGCGGTCCGTCTCATCTCAATTTCAGGCTGGATGAGGGAAAGAAGCTTTGGATACGATGTCATTGACTACTATATTGTAAAGCTAATCTTAAAATCCAAGCGTCTGACAAGTTTCCAGTAAGTGAGGCGTTCTCCTGGTGAGAGTTTTAAAGCATTCGTATCCATCTTCAACTTAAAAAGTTCGTCTAAAAGGCACCCTGAGCCAAATTCAATCGATCTGAAGCGAATGCCAAGGCTGCACAGGAAGACTTCCATCTTTTGTTATTCCGACTGAGATCCCGGAGATGGCTCCGCCGCCAGCTGAAAAGCGCCGAACTGCGTGGGCGCATCAAGCTCTGAAGACTTGCAGCTTTGATGAGTTTCTGAAGCGAAGAATCTGAGGGAAATGCCGAGAATTCAATGATTGAGGAAGAAGAAGACCGCGGGAACTGAAATGTACCATGTTGTCAGAAGTTATAGTGCGTAGTAGCGGTGTGGGATTCATAAGACGCAACGTAGCAGAACGAAACAAGGGCTCGGTTTTACTGGCTTTGTGCCAAAGCCGGAGGAGGAGGGTCATTGGCAAACAATCGAGATCGAAGCGACACTTCGCTGAACGATTTGTTTCTTCTTTTTCTTTTTTTGCAGAAGAGCACTGAAACTGCTGAGTGCCAGCTCGCCCCTCATCACTGAAGGCCCCGGAAAGGATCCCACTGACCTTAGTCACGTGAAGTCGTCCAAATACCGACAGAGGAAATTTTTGCGGAACTTCAACAAGCAGGATCGACTCATCAATGGTAATTACCTGCACTTATCGTAGTTAATTATGCCACGCGTAGAACTCAAACCTCAACGGATTCGTTCCGTAAACTTCCTCTGGTCGCGAACTTGAAATAGTATTCGCATCTCAAATTTTGATCTTGTCTGAACAGCTTTAGACTCCTTTTTTTTTAAAATCCAAGTGCCATTTTTTCAGATGACAGGAAAGGGGATCTCCTTGCTAGATTAGCTTCAAGTGTTTTCTCTGTTATCCTTATTTACCGAGTACAGTATTGATAAAGTTATGTTCTTTTAAGTTCGTGTGTCTCGTCTAATGTTAGGCGAATTGGGAAAAGGCAGTATTTTTTCTTGATAGAATTAGTCTTTTACTGTACTAAGTACACAAATACCATAATTAACACAACACAGAGACAGGGCAAACCCACAGAGATTTCCTGCGCAGGAGTCTCACTGAAAGTCAATTAACTAATGCCTGTTTGGGAGGAATCTGCCTGGGGTTTATGTTTGCAAAATCTTGGGAAATATTATAAAGGAATATAATATGTGTGTACCTGGTGCAGGTACTTAATTGTGGGACAGATCCAGGTATGAAGGAAGGGGGAAGGGATGAGTCCTTCCAGCGAAAGTCAGGTCAGGGTAGCATCAAGAATATTATATATCAATAATTATTCTCTCGATTCCAAGAATTCACTCCTGATTTCTTGGAAGGGTTAATTATATTGAATAAATTCTTATTCAATCTATTATCCTTTCCTCGCTTCTTTTCTCTCTTCACGTTGTCCCATTGGCAGAGCCAGAAAGGGTTAGACATCAAGTTCCAAATTGTTGCTTGAGAAAATAATTTTAATTTCTGATGATAAAATCTCAAAAAGTGAAGTAAAATTCAATAGAATCTGAACCATCTTGATCATTGGTCAATTCACTTTCCCATCTACATAAATAATTGATAGTGAATAATTAATCAAGGTTCAGAAATACTGCTTGTTATAATTCACATTTCCGGAAATCTTGAAGAGTTACTTTTCTCCCAACAGGTGAACTCTCTCTAAAATGAGATTCAAGGGACCAATTGTAGGGATAATTTCATAGTAAAAAATCGTTATACTGTACAGAGAAAATCAAGATCGTCGTAGACAAGATCGTTGTACAGAGATAGCCTCCATATATCTTCACGAGCTTGTCACAAACAAGCCACGATGAACGGTTGTTTGAATCCTCTGGTTATCATTAAATTCAATGAGTTCATTTTTCAAAATAACGGTATCTTTGGATCTATTGCTTTTTTGGATCGCATAAATTTCCTTATGAAAGTCTCGCCAATCTGAGAGAAATATTCTCAAGTTCAAATTACTCCGTTTTTCCTCTCATGCCATGCCGTCACCTCCCCAACAATCTGAAATAAAAACAAATTAGATGCGCACTTCTCATTCGAACTTGAGTTAAAATGGGTTTGTCCTTTAATTCCCGAGTTTTCTGTGGAAAAATCAGGGTACACGGCATTGTGTAGCACACTGGTGAATGTGATATGGAGACCACCCTGTTTTTCCCCGGCCCATATGAAACGCTGGGTCAATCAAACCATGAATAATCAATATTCTATTCATTCAAACCGAAATTCCTTTTCTGAAACCATGAACGTATCAGGTCAAGGTTTTCGTTTTTCCTTTTGCAGATTTTTCCTGTGCCCTCGTCAGCGACATTCTCCTCCAAGGCCACCTTTACATTTCGGAGAACTATTTTGCTTTCCACTCGAATGTATTCGGGTACATAACAAAGGTGAGAACAAATCGATGCTCCTGTTTATGATTGGTGATGACAGTGAGCAACTGCGCCCCGGGATAACGCGCTCAGTAATGAAGAGGAGGTTTTTTCCTCTCGGGTGCTTGATCAATCGTGTTGCTCTGGGTTGCCGCGCCCTAGCATCAGGTCGGGCGTGTCTCTGACCTGAATTCCTCCTCGGATTGTTCGCCCCTCTGAGCTTCTTTTCCCCCCCTCTATCTCTCTCTCTCATGTCAATGTTTCCTGTAAGTATAATAATACCAGAGCGTGTGTCGGCGGGTAGGATGATTCTGACTGAATGTCATCGCGGTGGGAAACCGACACGTTTGCACCTCATCTGCGAGACACCAGGACCGGTCAGCATGATGAATTTTTCATGAGAGGTCAATGAAAATTAGATCTCTGTGCCAAGTTTCTCAGTGTAGTATGACCTTCGCCACCGACAGACGTTGACGTTGGTTCCTCTGTTCACGCATTTTCAGACTCAGTCTTTTCATCTCGGTCGATGTCGACAAACAATTGCACCTTGATTTTTCGTAATTGTTTGTTTTCGCCTGAATAGTGGAACCTTGTGGGCATTGGTAATTTTTTTTATTTTACTGAATAAGGATGACAAGATTTCCATCTTCAAATGCCTCACCTAGTGTCGCGGATATTCTCGCAAAATCTGAAGAGCAATGTATTTTCCAGACGCTCTCAAGAGGTTTTACTACAAAAGTCCGAGTTACTTATTTGGAAAATCTCCCGTTTCTCATGAGAGGATCATACTGATTCCCCATATTTCATCGTTCTGGTGTTCATCATGCTGATATCGGTCAAATAATTTAACACAAATTCCGGATTACAGCGAAAAAAAATCCGTAGAAGTAAAAATATAAATAAATACTGTAGAACGAAATTAGGTGACCCCATTGATTTTGTCGAATAATCGACATTATATCATCTATGCAAGTTTCCCAGTTTCGAGAAATGTTTTACAGTATTTGCGTGGGGGAAAACCCCTTGCTTGGTGATTTCGGATGTGAAGAGTTGAAATATTCACAAAGAACAGGGCTCAAAGATGAACGTCGCTATTAAAAAAAAATTGTTAAAACTAATCTGCATTTGAGCATCCAGATTTCAACTGCTGCAGAAGTGTTTTCTCGATACTATAGGCTCAGTTAATCTAAATCAGGCATTTAAATTTTAATGTAAAAATATACAGCATTGTGTCACAATGCTTTTCTCGTTCAGGAAGAATCATGTAACAATGATTCTGAATGTGATGGAAAGGTATTCTCGCTCCGATTAAAAGCGTTTTCGAATACTATATCAGATTGAATGATGATGAACATACACTCTTGAAATTTTGTCGGAGTAAAAAATCCCTAGCAATAGCGAAGTTGACGGCGTGCACTCAAACGAGGAGCTTGTAATCCGGAAAGGACTGAATGGGTGGGTTGAAATGCCCTGACGTGGCGTCGAGATTGTATCCGAGACGAGTCTCCGGCAAATTTTATGCATGGAATATTCCCTGGGTTGCAGTTGCTGATCCCGCTGTCAAGCGTCGAGCGCGTGACGAAGGAGAAAACAGCGAAGATCATCCCGAATGCCGTCGGCGTGGTCACTTTTACACACAAGTACGTCTTCGGATCTCTGCTCTCTCGTGACACCACGTTCGGGATCATGACGCGCGTTTGGAAGCAGCACACGCCGCAAGAGCCAACAGAAGCCATCGCCATAGTAAGTGCACTTGGAGAAGAGGAATACTTTGCGAAATAACTGCCTCACTGTGTAATTTCATGCCAAGCTCTATTCCTTTGTCCGCTGTCCAAGAGACAAGAGAAAGTTCTGCTCCTCAGTTAATCCCGGCCGATTATTCCTTTCCGTATGGGTCGAGACTCGTCGAGTCGTAGTACTGTAGTTGGTTCGGCTTTCCTTCCATGGGTTCCGCGTGTCACTTCTCAAGGGTGCATGATCACCCGTCTTCCGTGGTTACAAGTCAAAACGTGAGAAAACGCGCATGTATCGACCGGAAAATATGTGTTCTTTGAACGCTGTACGTATGAAATGTGCTTATCAGATCTCATGCGGCGGACAGTTGAAAGATTTTTTCAATAATCCGAAGCGAATTTCTTCAAGTACTGAATTTTCTGAATTGTGAATAAAAAAAAAAAAACCGGCGTGAGATCTATGATCAAATTAGGAGCAAGCATGAGTTCAAATTCTGAGGATTTTCTTGAATGACAGCCTTGACTTCGCGAAAAATCCGTGCTCACAACGTGACATTTTGATATAATCTTCACATTCAGCCACAGAAATCCCAATAACCTAATACTGTATGTACAGCGTATTGAGCATGGTCTCCAGATCCAGAAAAATGTTATTGAAAATTTATTCTAACGCCTTGAAGTAGTTTGTAGCACTTATTTGACAACCGGAAAATTCATAGAACGAGGAAAATGAACCTACAATATTTTGCACACCCGTAACAGATTATTTTCCAAGTTCTCTCCATTTTAATCAGGATTCGCAAAAGTTGACATGATGGTCATGAAATGATAGAATAGCAGTCAGTATAAAGTATGCCCATCTATATTCATCGCACTAGATCCCAGCAAATGGAAGCGAAATTTTCAATTTAAAAAAAAATCCAACTCCTTTACATGGTGGAATTTTTTTTGGTTCTGCTGCGAGCCATGCTTATTTATTTCCCCCTTGATCCATTGGTATTCTGGAAATCAGTCTCGATTCAAACTCCACGAAAGCGGGAAATCATGCTTGCGTTAACGCCACTTCAATCGATGAAGCCATAACAGTTACCCTTTACGTAACTTGATGCAATTCTGAACAAGTTCTGATTTTCCTAGAATAAAGTGAAGTTGTCGAGTTGATGAATAACTTCACTGAAAGGTCAATGTACAATAAAATTCAGACGCGTCTGATTATTTTTCTTAGCAGAAGATCGTGGCAGGCGAAATCAACTAAAAGTGTGTCGATTAGTTTCAAGGTGAAGAAAAAAGAAAGATGAGGGGTTGAACATGTCATCAATCCAAAAAATCGGCTCGAAAAATAAAAGAAACGCTGTGTAATCCAAAACTGCAGTTAAATGGAAAGAACAATAACTGGGAATTCTGAGTCAAGATCCATATTTGCTTCAGTAACAACCGCACATGGTCCCAAAACTGTTGGCATTCCTCAAGTTGATGATGACCGCATCAATGAATTAAACTTAATAATGGGGTTTAAGAATAATTCTCCGCGATTTTCTTTGTAAAAATTCGATTGCGCGTATTACACTGATGAAGGGTTTTAAATATTCCAACAAGCGAATTTTCTGCGGCTCAGAAATGCCAGCCTTGGGATTAAATTAAGCGCAACTAAATTCAGAACGAAATGATCAAAACTTCGAAAAGTAAATTGCAGAAAAGAGGTGGAATTAAAAATACTCTGATTTTATTCGTGGCTTCGCATGCGAAATTCGATGATAAAAATTTTTAAGGGATAGGATCATCCATGGAGGTAAACATTCTTCGATTGAAAGACGAGTACTTTTGTTGGAACAGCAGCGGACTGAAATGATTATAAATAATTTTCAAAACATCATTCCAAGTTATGATAATTGGCATTTTCGGCGACTATAATTGAGTATTTAAAGTAAGCTTCTGTCATTGTATATATCAGAGTCTTTTGTTTTGCTTGGAGCGCCGCATTTGTTTACCAACTCAATCCGGAAAGATGCACGGCTCAATTGCAGCAAAGAGAATTGAGACAAACTTGTCTTCGAAGTCTTGACGGCGTACGTTTATTCTGCTCGTGCGCGATTTTATAAAGCACATGCCATTTAGTTTATCCAGTCCGTGGTAGAAAAAAACTATGCCTGCCGTGCAAAATTAAATGCTCCGCGGATCAGCGCCGGTCCGCAGAAGTTTTTTGCCGGTCCGCAGACATTTTTGGCATAATAAATATATCGACGGTAGCGAGGAAGTCTGTTATCGATATCTGAAATTTCGGAAAGACGATCGCAGTTGAAATTTTCTGATAGAAAATAAAAGCTGACTTTTCTCTCAATTACAACACTTAAGACAAATTTTCACCTGCTGAAATGAATTATTAAAAGTATCCATTCTGAGAAACCTTCTTTGATGTCCAGCTTTCTAATTTTTTGAAGAAATTCCACGATAGCTGCCTCATTGATTCTTTGCTTAATTTTTGTAAGAAAAGGTTTGTTTGGAGGACTTTATGACAGGTATTTAGAAAAATTTTGATGTTCTGCATGATTTTATAGAACTTTTCCGGTCCGGCAAAAATTTAACGGAAATTTGCCGGTCCGCGGGCCCAAAAAGGTTGGGGAACACTGATCTACACCACGTCAGTTTCCCTCTCATGACGTTCATTTTCAGAATATTCAGTTTCAACTCGAACAAAGCTCCGAACTGTCACTTCCTTCGTTCCAGTCAAGAGCCAGGTCACCTTTCAGGTCGGCCAGACAAACATCCCTGCAGCCCATGGCCTGTAAACCTTTCCAAGTCCCCGGATGGCGAACTTGGACGTGATCCACGGCCTTGTGCGACTACGTACCTTCCCCAAGGCCTCGCTATCAATCTGGCGTACCGGAGCCTCGAGCCAACTGGCGTCCGTATCCGCGAGGTCTCCCAAGCGCACTTAGCAGATTCATTTTATTCGATCGCTCGATCCGTTCTCGTCGCTAAAAGCTTCCTGTTGAAGGCTGAGCTATATTTTTCCCCATGGGTGTTCTTTCGAACTCCTGGTTTGTCCTGACGACTTTTTTTTCTTCAAATCTCGGACGAGCACCTGCACTGAAACGATAAAACATACATTGAACACTTTGAAGTTCGGTTCCTTTGCCAGAAGATTCTACCTACTGTACTCCGTAGGAATTCGGTTTCAAAAATTACCTTTTAGCCGCGCATTTCTTCGCACCAGTTCTTGGAAGTACTCTGCAGTACAATCGCGTGACTCCGTTTTTCCGTGTGTGGGGATTGCGACAGGAAATTCATAGTACAGTACTGTACTGTATTTCTAAAGGATTCTAATAAATCCTGTCATGTAAATTTCACGCAGAGGAAGTCCATTTTGTATTGGAGCTTCTGACAGTATAGATAATATCCGTACAGAAGCGAACACGATAAACGTTCTCCGAAATTCGCGAGTTTTTTTTTCCGTGGGAAAATCTAAACTTGAGTAGCGTGATTATCGTAATGAGACTGGAATTCATAAAGAAAGGGCTACAGACAAGCAAAGCTGTCTCTTACTGCATCTAATCTTGAAGCACACTCAAAGCAATTTTCGTTGAATTCAAAGGAAGCTCCTTCATTATCGAACCGATTATTTTGAAGTTCACCTTCAGTCTATGAAGTTTTTTTTTAAATCTTTTTATGCTGATGATTAAACTGCTACCAAAAAATAGTTTATTTTGTCTTCGTGACATTTATTCGATGGTCTCTTTTCCGAATTCTAATAATAGTATAGTACAATCTAAATTGTTTGCCTTATGCAAACAGTGAATAATTTAATTCGTGAGCTTTTAATGTAGAAACAGTACTTGTTCAATGCGTTATTTTTTCAATGAAGACCAAAACTCGTGGCGATAAAATCGTATCATAAGCGAAGAAACACGGCGTGTGAAGTAGCTTTCGCATATACGTGCGTATTAAGATAGACTACGAATATTTACCAATTTTCATGCAACGATATTTTGTACACCACCATTTATTTATGTTACAAGCAGGCCTCTTTTTAATTTTGTTGCAGCTCCTCTAAAACGGCATTTTATTCATAACGAATTATTGTCGGTCCGTTGAATAGCATTTTGGAGAGAGGGGGAGTCCACGTTTATCTTACACAGTACTTTGATTGTCCTCTCCGTCCGAAGAATCGAACGTCATTTTGATCTGTTTGTTGTAACGTTTACATGACGACGAAATTTCCAGACTTATTCTCGAGCTATCCGTGAGTTTAGACGCTCGTAATCAATCCGAAGTCCGGCTTTCCGCTTCAAGAAAAAACGCTAGTTTTCAATCACTCTTTTTTCAGCAAGCGCCGATTGCGGAAGATGATTCCGGAAGCGGGGGACTGAATGGCGAAGAGGAAGAAGAAGAGGTCAACGGCGAAGACAGTTCTTCGGGCGGCGGACCGGCCGACTTGAGCGCCGCCGAGAACGAAACCACGTGTGAACCCGACGGCGTGATCTCAGGCACTACGGCGCCTCATCCGGACGCCGCGGCGCCATTTCGCAGCAGCAGTGCTACCGGCATGCACCAGCACCAACCCTTACACCACTCGCACCACATTCACCACCACCACCAGCACGGCATGATCGGCAAGAGCGCCGCCTTCGTCAAAGGTAATTGTCATTGTTTACTCCGCTCTTTTCGTGCCAAATAGATTTATAAAATAAAACATTTGCACCAGCTCGAGGACGCTTAGAAAATAAATTCATTCAATGTCATATGCGAGTTGTAAACCTCTTCGTCGGATAAGTAAGTTGACGGTTTTTCGAGCGCAGTCAATGCATTGACTTCGAAGTGCAGATAATTTTGCTATAAGCCATGCAAAATTACCTAAAAAAAAGATTTCTTAAAAATTTTCCAATCCTCAGACGAATTCGAACTTTTGACTTTTCGAAGAAATATTTGCGTGTTACTTCGGAGAATATTATTAGGTGTACAATCCTCGCCTGTCATTAAAGCAAATCTCACGCTCTGCGAAGAAAGCAGAAAGACGGAGTAATAAAAAACTGCTATCTTTCGGCAGCAGTTTCTTTATTTTTTATGATGTGAGCAGTGAACGCCTGTCAGAGCTGTGCAAAATATTTCTAAGGTTTCTGCACGTCGTCAAAGGGATGCCAAAATGTTCATTGGTAGTGTGCAATGTTGTCCAGAGTTTTCCGGAAGCAGGTAACAGTAGTTTTGGCTTATATCTTATTCGTGGGTAGAGTATCAATAAGCGAATAATTCTTCAAACCAATTTTGCCTTACCTTTCTTTGCTTCTACTTCTTGCGTGGCGCTGTAATTTTAAATGCATGCCTGATTTTCAGAGCGTACATTAAAATTGAAGATTAAATCTGCCTGCAACGATTTTTGTGCGTTTTATATTCGTCATACAGCAAACGCCACGATCCTAACTCCTGTACATTTCAATTGAAAACGTTGGCGCTAATTTGAAACGCACGTAGAAATTAGCGCCCTGCTTTCGTTTAGCCCTGCTTTCGGTTAATCCTTAATCAAATAGCCTCACGTACCCAAAATTAGCAGGACCAAGTGTTTTTTTTTTCATAGGAACCAGGTTGTCAGATGTGGGCCATTCTCATGAAAAATATTTTTTACCTGATTGATATTCACTTAGTTGCTCTTGGATAGCCGGAAAATTAATACTGTAGAAGCCAGCAAGTTTGGAAGGTAAACCTTATTTTTCCATAATGAAGGTTTCCAATTTTAGATCTCTGTCTTCTCTCCATTTCAGCTTTGCTCAGTAAAATGAGCTGAGGGATTTCGCTTTGATCCCACTCTCCAAAAGATTGCCTTGATCAGAAGTAATCTCTCTGACTTTACACCTGCGAAGATAAGGTGTCGTCGAGCATAAGACGATATCGATTGCGCCCACGATGCACAATTTTAAATTGAAAAGTTTCAAAATTCGATTGTATGATTTTTTTTCTCACACTTCCCGCGTGAAAGCGGATCAACAAGAAGTGCTTCGAATCAGTGTACCTATTGCTCAAGGGCTCCTGCAGTCAGCACTTGGTCACGTAGCAGGCTGGAGAAGTGGATCATCATCAGTTCCTTTCTTCCGTAGGACTGTATTCGAAGGCCATGCATCGTGGAGACGGGGACACGGCGCCGCACACGGGATCCCAAGGTTTGCTGGCGTCCATCGCCTGTGTTCCCAAAATCACCATCCTTTTGTCAATCGCCACGATCCTGCTCATACTGCTTTTCGTCGCCGCGGGATTCATGATTTTGCGCATCAGCAATGTGCAAGAACAGCTTTTGATGTCCAGAGCCGTTCCTCGCAACAAGTAAGAATGTTTTGGATTCCCATAAATTCGGGATTGAATTTCGCGAGGAGCGATGCGGAAAGCTGCCGAATAACTCCCGCTTGATCAATGTGATTCGTTCTTGAGCCTGTGTAAATCATTCCATTTGGGCTAATACCACAACATACCAATAAACCAGAGACTGAAAAGTATCTGCTGATTGCATGGCCCTTCGGGAAAGCATCACATAATCAATTTATAATAAATGTTCATAAAATATCATCATATCATCTTGAGTTTTGTAAGACTTGCGTGTAAACGATGCACTATGGAATGAAAGTATTTTCTAGAATCTTGTGCAGGACAAAGGAATTCCGGCCACATCTTGAAAAAAATCCACACTAATTTGGTAGAGGTACTCTTCATTTCTAGCCCTGCCTTCGGATACATCTTAATCAAATAGCCTCACGTACCCAACAATACCAGGACCAAGTGGTTTTTTTTTTTCATAGGCACCAGGTTGACAGATCTGTGCCATTCTCATGGAAAATATTTTTGACCTGATTGATATTCACTTAGTTGCCCTTGGATAGCCGGAAAATTAATACTGTAGAAGCCAGCAAGTTTGGGAGGTAAAGCTTTATTTTTCCATAATGAAGGTGTCCAATTTTAGATCTCTGTCTTCTCTCCATTTCAGCTTTGGTCAATAAAATGTGATACGGTGCTCAGGAGATAATAAAGTCTTCATACAGTAAATATAATTTCCATTTTCCAATTGAAGCATATTGCAGACAAAACTCGTGAAGCAACCCTAGTATGAGTAGTGAAAGTTGTGCGCCATTCCTGTCGACATGAATATGATGAATTGCAGCATAAGTATATTCCGAGAGAAGTGAAAATTGCAGATCGGAATCCAGAGGGGGAAGTAAAGGGACTAATCACAGGTTTCCTTTGCAGAATGGAAATTTACCAAGAAGTTGCGAGGTGGCAAAAGGAACTGCATTCGTCATTGGCCTCCGAAGTTCAGCTAACGGTTGAAAAACATCTCTCCAACATAGCTCAGGTAATTATGCGTTCATCATCTTGCATTGAATTATGTGTTTCCATAATTCCGGTTACGTTGTTGACCTCAAGTTTGAAGATTTTGTTTTACGTACGGTAGCTTTCTCGACTCAGAGTTGAATCTATTGCGTAAATTTATTTTTCTCTAATTTTGTCAGTTCATGTTACTGACTCCGAAGTTCTCAAGAAGGGGTTTTCACTGTCTGTTTCAGGATGTTGATGATTTTTGGAAACTTTTCAGGTGAGAGCGTCATTAGATGCTCTATACACACTGTTCCCTGTGACGGGAGAAGGTCTGCAGTCTACGTCAGAGCCAGAAAAAACCTCTAGATGATCAGGAAGATGAACCTGCGATTCGTGAAAGTGTACTTCGTTTCCCGAAATCGGCATGCATGCGATTGGCTCGTCCCGATTCCGAGCCTGCGGTGATTTCAGACCTTGATTTTCTTGGGAGTTTCGCATGGGATTTTTTTTTTTTTGCTGATCATTGGATTATTTGGTATGAAGAGCTTTGACTGTTGAAAGAAACAGCGTTTCTAAAATGGGGTGTTGTGGTCAAGTGACGGAGGAAGGGAAGGAATTATTGTGATTTTCAGATGACGGTTTTTGATCGTGTGTCGCGTATTTTCTGGCGCGGTTGGAGTTTCAACTTGCCCTTCCGCCAGACGTGTTTAGCACAAGTAGAACGCAGGATCCTATTTTAGTGAAATTATTTTCTCGTGAAACTGACCCCGAAAATTATGCATCAATTATAATGTACCTACCACCTTTCTTCATTTAATGCGACGAGACATTGCTGAGGATTTGAAACGAAAAAAATTCACTCTCTATCCTGATATGTTTGCCCACCCGAAGCCATAATGAGATGAACAGCTTCTCATTGCAGAGAGAAACGTATACCTCAGCCATTCAAAAGGTTGTTCGATATTCGGTAATGAGATTTACTTGCATTCGAATTTTGATTACATTCCTGTGATAAGATGACCTGGGATGATTTGCCATGATCACTGACAAATCAAGAACAGTATCTGTTGACAGCCAAAATCGGTACGATATCTTTTGGGTTTGATATGATGGTTTGACCCAGAGATGGATTGTTTCGCATGCTTCACCATGCTTCCAACGGAAAGAATCTACTAGTAGCAATGGGAGGCTGTTAATAGGACTTTCTTCGCTCTTCTCTTGGGATTAGCACCAAGGAAGTTCCTGGACAGAATAACATGCTGGCGTGGTTCGTGATGTTGTTTCAGGAGCACCATGACGAGTTGAACGTTGCGCGCACAAACGTGTGAACGGTTCGTGGAATTTTTATTTTAAAAATTCAAAGGTTTAGATGAACTCGTGCACACTCGCAATTCCCCCTTTTTTTATTCAAGCAACTTTCGGTCTATATTCAGTCAGTGGTTGTCAATTTTTTTCTCCTGTGGTGTTTGCCAGCATTGCCTTTGGGTAATGTGTGCTGGATGAGAAATATATTGTACTTTATTTGTTACGTGATTTTTACTTCAATATATTGCATATGCATGGGATACGCAGTTCTTGAAAATTTCATGGTTTATTTGCAATTCCGGTTTATGAGTGTGATTTTATAAAAGATACCTGGAAGAATTTGATTGAATTTGATTGAGAGACATGCTCAAAACTCCTTACCACACGACCAAACAATGATTCGCAATTAGCTGCACAGGTTAAAGATTAGCGCGCCAATGAAATTCTGAAAATCTCCCTTAAGAACCAAGGGCATGTGCATTTCGGTTTGTCCTTTCTCAAATAGAGGACGCTGAGGTACGCAAAAAACACAGGGACGCGGTCTTTCCCTGGGGATGACTCATCTCAAATTTCAGACTGTTATCTTCTTTTGTTTTCAAAATACGCACCAACTAACCTTCTTAAATATTGACAAACAAGTACTATGCCGTACAGGCAACGGCTATAGGAGAACTGGCAGAATTACCGTACGAAGAAGTTACGTTTATTTTAAATTCCGCCAAAAATTCAAAAATAAAGATAAATCCAATCTAAAAATAGATTTAAAGAGAAAATTCCAAGGGCTACAAATATAAAGAGTTTAATTGCAACAGAAGATCAAAAACTGAGGATCCACAAGGGATCAAAAAGGATCTTCGTAAAAAGGCAGAAAAAACTATCGTACCATCAAACATTTAGCCCGGATCCTCAGGTGATGCAATTTCTGCAGACACCCATTCATTGAGCGTGTGTTATGATTAGTTACTTTCGGGATACATTGACAATTGACAAGTTTCAGATGCACGTCGTGAAGCATGCCTTAAAGCATACAAATTTAAAAAAAAAAATCATAATTACTGTAATAGATTTTCGCTCTACGATTCCAATTAATTTTACGTTGTATGAAATTGAAATCAATGGCTGATCAGACTACCGAAGTTCCTGACGCATACGACCAGCAGATGTTTGAATCATACCGTATCTTGCCAGTTTTCCTCCTCATTTATTACATCTATCGATTCAAACTTAAAGTTTTCATGCGAAATCCCAAGATTACGAGTTTATTATTTGGTTACCAAGAATGGATTAGTCTTTAGCGTATGAATTTAATATTCATTGAGCAAGTTGAAGCTGTCAACACATAGCATACATAAACTACAGTTTTTTCTGATCATCGCAGCACTGGGAGTTCAGGTTTCACTCGACTGTCACCTACTGTTCATCACTGTTCATTTATACACGATTCGAGAATAGGTGTCGCTACTACTGCAGCAAACATTCCCACCTTCCGAGGAATTGTAGAAATAGAATCGACACTCGATATAGTTTTCTTATTGGCTCACTACAAGTTGCCAGGTTAAGAACAAGTGTATTTATTGATCTTTATGTTTTAGTCTGGATATCTAGGGAATTATTTTAAATTACTGGAATTACCTTTCTTTTGAGAGCTTTTGATTTATTTTAGCTTTATTTTTCACAAAGCTATTGAGTTTGAAATCAGATATCTGAGCGTTGTGCATGGTAAACTGGTTATTTTTTGAAATCCAGTGCTCTATATCATGTTGAAATTTTTGCTTTGGGGAAAGTGTATGCTGTGTGATCAGGAATAGATTCTGTGTCACAGCAAACGCCAATCGGAATTTTTTTTCTCATTTCCTCAATCGTAATATCAAATACGTTGTACACCTCTCTTAAGAGAACATTCCCTCTATTCCGCTTACATGATGCGTTATTGCTCTAGCACTTAAAATCACTTCCCATTCGTAGATTTTGTGAATTTCTACAATATTTTCGACATAAAACAAGATACTGTACAAGCAACTTCTGGGAAACATATTTCGTGGTATGTGTGGCTCATTTTATGAGGAATTCTTTGGGTAAGGCACCCCTTAGAGAGGCATTAACTTTCCACGGAGCAAACATTCTTTCCAGAAAATAGCTCAATAATCTGCAAACTCTATAAATGTCTAGTTCAACTTTAGACTGGTTGCAATTTTGTGGGTAATTACCCGTGTAGATGAGGTTGCAGATTTGTAAACTGGATGTGCCAGAGGGATTGAACTATTACTTGGAATTGAGAATAAAAAATCAGGCTTCTTTCGATTTGCAATCTGCTGCCTATCCTTTCAAAGAAAAATGATCTGTCTGAAAGTAAAAGTTAATGCCTACTACTTTTGAGATTGAATAGTGTCTTCGTCTACGACTCTGGTGTATGCCGTCGAGTTTTTGTGTAAACACTTTCTAAATTATTCGCCGCTTATGCAGTTTCCCCCCTAAAATAGCTGCTCAAAATAGGGATGCGAATCTCCTGTTTCGCAGCTGTTATGTACAAAATCCCCGTTGAACAGACTGTGGAAGCCTTTTCTCCAAGAAAAGTGTTATGTAATACTCAGTTTGTCCGGTATAAGCCTCGTGCGAAAGTTACTCTGACGTTCGACCGACGTTTCCACTTTGTCTTGCGTAACAAGCCTAAGAAATACTTGCGAATGTTTATAAGATTATTTGAAATACCTCCTCCAGGCTTAGAAAGTGCTCGGTCGATGATTGTATAGGATCTTCTTGGCGCGGTAGTTGACGGGTTTCTTCTGGTCTATTCCAGTGACAGAAGATAAACCCTTCGAACAGTGGCTGTGTACAGAACTCATCTAGAAATAGAGAAGGAAAATTTCGCCGCCATTTGTGAACGGGTTTCTGGTCCTCTTGTGCTTGGCGTTGGCGGCGGCGTATACGATCACAAGCTTGCCAATAGCAAAGCTCAACATAGAAAACGGTCTTTGAACCAATTTTTGGAATATCTAAAGAAATTGCGGGCCGAGCGTCGACAAGAAGTGAAATACGGACACTGAATGAATGAATGGACAGAAAGCTTTATTTCCTGCTTTTCAGCATTCACAAGGTTCAATCAACATTTCCACATCCAAACCCCCTCCCTGCCTAACCCAAATCCATTCAAAGACTTCAGAGTGGGAAACAGAAATTAGATGCAAATGGATAACAAAAATAAAAGAAAATACATTCCACAAAATACAACTGCACAACTGATATGTATGCATACACCCCCTCTTTCCCTGACATTGAAAACAAAATATCAGTAACAAAAATTGCAGCATAAGCCACAATTGAAACGATTGCAGCAGTTAATGAACCCAATTTAAAGCACAAGGTCTTCAGCATGTTTCCAGATGAGGTTTAGTCGAATGAACAATTTAGAGAGAATCTTTGATGAGAAATCATATAAGGAGAACAATTTAGAGAGAATCTTTGATGAGAAATTGTATAAGGCCAACAGTTTATCTTGATCCTCTAAGATTTCAGAAAGGGTCTCTTCATTGAATTCCAATACTTGTAAATCTTTCTCAAGCTCATTTCTATCAGTATGGAATGCTGGGCATAAGATGAGAAGGTGCTCTGGTGATACACTGAATCTAACCAACTTACTCCTATTGCTCAGGCTGGAAAAGATCCCGTTAGCTATTGGAGTCGCAGGAGAGTTCGGGTTCGGGTTTCCGGGAAGAAGCACTGTGACGGGCATGAAGCCGTACTTCTCTCTAGAGACGACCTTTGCTGGGGTGCCACTTATTTGATCGCATCCAGGGATAAGGATTACACCTGTTTGAATTCCCTGGCCTGCATCGACCCCCAGCACGTCAACGATTACATGACAGGATGTAAAATGATGTTGAAAGCTGCCAACGTCGTTCATGGTTTCAAAACCCAAGTAAGTTGCGTGTTTATTGCCATCCTGTTCTCAATCCAGCGAATACCGCGAATATTGCAATTGTTCCTCTGAAACGCTCATTCAAATCCTCAACGTAAGATTCATGCGTTTCACGGAAATTTCAACATCTTCTCGTAAAAAAGAGGACAATAACTTTGCGAAGGAGGTTCACTTAAGACGAAAGTTGAGTTCAATTATAGCCTGAAACCCTGAAATTTGCTTGTGATTTGTTTGTCGAAAATTTTCAAGCAAAATTGCCAATGAGCTCTGAGTAAAATACTTAATCATTCCACGTGACAATCGCAGGAGACGCTGAGTGTGCTTTCCGTCAAGGATTGCTTATCATTATACCATGCAGTACTTGAAAATTTTTGATATCGCAAAAAAATCATAATTTTCATTTTGAAGATTTTCTGGATGGAACCCGGATTATGGCTGCCTTTTCCTGCGTACTCATACGTTTCCTTGATGCTGTAAATATGGGTCCTTGAGTTAATTTTGCGGAAGATGAAGGATACTCGAGAGAATTCATGACCACGATATTTGAGAAAAACGAGTATTTTCTGAAGACAATGCCAATTTTGAAGATGATCATTTTACAAATGACTTCATCGACAAAATTTGGAAATTTAATTTCCACATCATCGTGCGAGAAATAAACATCTTCTCGATTATTTGATCCTAGGTTCATCCCGTACAACGAAAAATTTGAGAAAATCTGCCATAGGATGCCAAGGACGCAGCGCTCTGCGATGGGGATTGTGACAAACAATTTCCGTGCAGTTTGAATAACGTGAAACGACCTCAGTCCTCCAGGGATCAGCAAAATTCAGAAATGACGACGCGAATGATGGAGAATTCATGATGGGAAGTGTATTTTTTTCAGCTCATGAATGTGGGTATCAGCCTCTGACTCGAATCCGTCCTCGCACGGAGAGAATGATCACTCTTCCTCCTGGCCTGAAATTTGTCAACGTATTGCGAATGCAGCCAATATTAACGGGGAGATGACATCTGAAACGATGAAGAATCCAAGTCTTAAGCACCGCGTGCTATTCCGCAGTTGTTGATTTGACCGGAAGGCTGTTTTGTTGTTAGTTTTATCCTCTGAGAAGGGAAGTTCCGTGATGCCGAATGAAAATGTACATTTTGCGAGATTGTCATCATCAATCCGGAGTCCCGAACACAACGGTAAGTCGTTTCGCTCCTGATTCACGCCATAGAAATTCCACCGAATGAAACGAAATCTTTGAAATGTATTCTGGTGTGTTGTTGATGTTCGATGCAGTCGGCACAGCGTCGATGTT